ACCCTTCCCCCCCCAAAAAAATTAGAACAACCAAATGCTCAATGCGCAATACTACTTCAGCATTGGCCCAATTCTAAACTAAAGCCCAGAGCCCAATACTAGAATCCGCGGCCCCTCCAAACGTTTTTCTGTGCCAAAGTACCACCCCGTGGGCAGGGCCAGGCGTTTGATCAGTCGAAGTGGCCCTGCCAAGGTGGAGACTCCCGGCCTTCGCCGGCCCCACTCCATGTCAAAACGGGGCAACTGAATAGAGGTACTCAGTTGTTCAAAGCGAATCGACCGGATCTGACCTTTTGGCCTTCGCCTGTTTGGTCTATTTTTAGTAGGGGTCCCAAAAGGTTAACCTTTTATTGATGGGTCCTTTGGGCAAGTGAGGGTATGCTATTGGGAGGGACCCATGTGCGGGGGCCCAGGGTTCCGAAAAAGGGTTCCGTGAAGTGCAATGTACATGGCCTTGACTGATGCCCGGCAAGCTCGAGCAATACTGAGTAGATATTCAAGTATTTTGTTGCATTGTTCTTGGATCTTGTGCTTGTCCTTCTGTTGCAGACGTGCGGTTCACAGCTCAGATGCCTCAGAGAACTGCGAGGTGCGAGGGGAGGACAAGGTCACACATGTGACACCGCTTCGCTCTTCGCATCGCATGTGTCCTCATTAGTAAGCACCATGCCACCAAAGATCCCTGCCGCTCTTTAGATGTTCAGAAGTCAATCGAAGTGGTACACCAAGAAAGCCCAGTTTGGTCGGCTGGGATCAAAGAACTTGCTGGCCTCTTGGACGCAGGTAAAGAGAAGTCGTCCGGCGCCCAGTAGCCATCACTCCGCGGAGTATGAAGATCTGATTCCCCGAGGTTTTGGAGATGAGCCGAAATTGTTCTAGAGGTCGATTCCCCATTTGGGGGTGCCCTGGAAAAAGATACACCTGTTTGATAAACAAAAGAGAACCCTTCTTAACTGTTGTCTTGTCTACGTTCTGATTCCCCATCTTCACCCAGCGTTCTCAGTAGAGAAGCCACCCACTTTCAATTCGAGGATTGGCCTCCCCGTTCATGGCCCACCTCCTTGAATACGGCATTGGAGGACTCCCCCCCCCCCCACCCCCCTCCCCCTTGTAGCGGGGATCCCCATGCTCTTCACCCATCGTTCTCAATATCCCGGCCCATTTGAGGAGAAGGTCGTATTCAAGTCAAAGTGGTTGGCTTTGAGGTTGTAGGTCTGAGGCAACCCAGTCGCACCTCCTGAGTTCATGAACTTTTTATTATTTTTGGGTTTGGACCATTTTAGTACGGTAAATATAAAGTTTGGTTTCTCTTTTTGGGCCATCCACTCAGCCAGTGGCACAAAAGGATCTTGGGAAAGTGGTTGCTAAGCTCAAGTATTGCTTGTGGGTTGCTTTGACAGACTCAACTTGTTGCGGTTGATTCCTGCCTGGCACTGTCTCCAGTGATGAGGCGTTCCTTTGTTCGCGGCCGAAAAGTCTGCCGTGAGCTTCTGCTAGGGCACGTGCATTTGGGCAAACACATAGCGACCTCGCAAAGGGGTGTACGCCCTTACCCAGGTGAAGGTTTCTTTTACAGGGACCCCGTCCTATGAGTTGCTGAGATGACACTGGTTCACCCAGATGCATGCAGACCCGCACTTCTCCTTCCTGAGGAACGGGACTGGCGGCGAGCGCAGCACGGGCAACAAGCCTGGCAAAGGAAAAGGGAAGAATAAAGGCAAGGGCAAAGGCAAGGGCAAAGAGAAAGGAAAAGGCAAGGGCAAAGATAAAGGAAAAGGCAAAGACAAGGGCAAAGAGAAAGGAAAAGGCAAGGGCAAAGACAAGGGCAAAGACAAGGGCAAAGGCAAAGGAAAGAGCGGGGGCCAGGCCGGTGGTGATTCTTGTGTCGTGTGATCCAGTTCCGATCTGACGGCTGGTGCCATCATGCCGTGCCGCAGGCTGGCAAAGGCAAAGTGAAGAAGCCGCATCCTCAGTTTTTGTGTCCAACCCAACTAGTTGTGGAACGCAAGGCGTTACCTGTTTGACAAAGCCCACTGTTGGACTCTACGACGAACTCAGTATCTTGCGGATTAGCAGTTCAGTCTTTGGGGGGCTGGGCACTCGGTGAGCAAAGGCCATCGCACCTGTTAGACATGCAACTTGTTTGCAGATGCAGAAAGCCTCGGAAAGGCCAGCGGCGAATGGAGAAGTCGACCTGCCTTCGATCGACCTGCGACCCTTCGATGCTTTCCACGTCTTTTTGGCGATCCCGCGGCTGAGGAAGGGCAAGACGTGAGGTGCTGGCTCCCTTGGGCCTCAGAGGGCGAATTGAGATCTGAGCTTTTGGTCTGGTGGCACCAAAATCGGTTTTTTGGGATGAAACCAAAAGCAGCCAGAAATCCGAAACACGCCGCCAGAAATCCGTCCGCTTCTGAAAGGTTCACTTTTGATTTCTGGGTCCGCAACTGAGTCCTGGCTTGAGGATTTGGTCCTTTGGGATTGGCCCCTCCATGTGCAACAGCCTGGATGTATTCGGGAACCCCTACCCTGGTTGAAAATCGAACTTGAAGGTAGTGTGCCGGCCGGGACTTTGTCTGTCGACTTCGCATCCCGAATCGGCGCATCAGCTGTGCTTGCTGGGCAAGCGGGATGCTAGACCTCACCAATGATGAAACTTGGATATTCTCTAACAACCTGCCTAGACAAAGATGTCCCAAAACAACATCTCCCGATCAGTGTTGTTCAAATGTTCAATGATGGTGCATTCCGGGCTGCATTCCGCGTCCCTCCGTCAGCTTTCGTGTTCCGTTTCGCGCCGAGTTTCATGAATTTGGAAGCACGGAGCCATTCGGCACGAAACGGGCGTTTAACGGCCAGCGAGGCGCCAAGCAAAAAGCGGGTGAAGGTGTGTGGAACAAAAGGACCTTTGCATTTTTTTGGTATCGGATCTTTGAAGTGTTTGGTTGAAATAGGTCGGATCCATGGCAGAGCTGCAAAAGCGAAAACGGAAGCTGCTCGCTTGAGCTGCTCCTACTTCAATCAAGACATGGGATGTAAACACAGTGCCGCGTGCCGCCCCACTAACCATCCCAGCCAGGTTGATGTTCAGTTCGTGGTTGGGGGTTGAATCCAGAATGCCTGCTTAGCACAGCTGATTCAAGGCCAGTCTGGGTCCATTTTAGAAGACATCCTCAAAATTACCCTCTCAGGGGTGGTTTCAAGAGGTTTTTTCACGCGTCCCAAAGAATACTTGTTTGGAACGCCCTCAAAATGGTTTCCACCAGCAAGTTGACCAGGAATTGCTCGCGACATCGCACGAGGATCATGGGATTCTCATTCAGCAAACCAACCACAAACAGCACAAATCGAAATGGATCCCAAAAATAAATTACCCGCAAATGGCGATACACGCCATTTACAAAGGTCTCTTGGATACACAGCAGGCATACTCAGCCAAAAGGGTCAAATCCGACCTGCATCGTGCGCGCCGCATGCCCCGCGACGTGTAGCTTTAGAGCTCCTCGGCTTCCGAATCGACATCGGCTCGCGCTTCTGGGTTTCTCCAGTTTCGCCTTTGTGAAATGGGGGTGGAAGGGACACATGTGAGCGGCTTTTGGCATTTTGTGTCAGGCTCGCAAAAGGTCCCTGCGGTGAGAAATCCGGAAAATGACAATTCCATTTCTGGAGTTGCACGAAATCTGCACGCTGTAAACCGAGGTAGGTCGACATGGCGGCAGGTGGTGGTGGTGAGAAAAGGCCGCTTGATTTCGACGATGACGATGATGACGACGATGATGGCTTTGGTCCCATGCTCCTTGGCTAGGAAGTGCAGAGCGGGCTGAAATCGTTGTTTGGCATGCTTACGCCAGTTGTGCGTCGAAGGCCTGATAGGACTACCTGGGTGTTGCTGAAAATAGGAGCCAACAAATTGGTGACTTCTTGTGGTTTCCCTTTAAAACCAACCCAAAAGGGGTTCCCCTAAAAAAGACATGGCTGCTAGACCCAGGGTAGGGAAAAAAGCAGTCTGCCCTCAGCCCTGGGAATACAACAACACAATATAGACAATACTTTACCAATTCTGAGCTAAGAGTAGCTCAATACTCACCAATACAAAACCAATACGCAGTCAGCAAAGCTGACGGCCCAAACAGTATTTGAGGCAGTAGCGGGAAACTGGAGCTGGGTAGGGAATTCAGAAGCTCGGCACTCCATTCACCACGTACTGAGCACTGAGCAATACTAGACCAATACCAGAAGGGATTGAACAATGTGCTCCTAACCGTGACCGTGCAACCGTGCAGATTACACGGCGGTTGGACGGACAGATCGTGCAAACCGGAAGCCGCTGACCGACGGCCAACCGTGCTGACCGTGCTGACCCGTGATGAAGCCGTGCTAACCGTGCTTACTCCATGCTGACCGACAGCCAGGCATGATGGCCCGCCGGGCTGACCGTGCATTAATTCTCGCAGTACAGTTTTGGTTCAGTATTGGTAGGTATTGTTATGCATTGGAGTGGGCAAGGTTCTGCCCGAAGATATGTGCTGGTTTAGTTGTGGTTCAGTAGTTGCGTTTTACATTTGAGGTTTGGCGGTTTGGGGATCTGGACCAAATCAGATGTATTTAGGCGCATTGAATAATACAGGGAGTGGTCCGCTTGATCCGGAGCTTGGCTTTCCTGGTCTAGAGTGAAAAAGAACTCATGTGGGATGGCATTCAATAGATGCAGGGTCCACTTGGGAGCTGACTTTGCTAGCAAACACGAATTTGGGAAAGCTTGCGCGACAGTGGCTGTGGCCGTTTGCCTACAGGACCGAATAGTTTCGGTGATGCTTGGTGGGACGCAGACAGGAATTAACCGTTGAACCGCCCTGCTTTTGACCAGCTGCTGTCGTAAGCGCTCAAAGTTCTGCTCCTTGTTGCCGACTTTAGCATCGGCATGACGCGACGCCTGGTTGAGATTAGAACAGGAACATGAAGCCTCATTCTTTCCCAAGCATTGGGCCTTACTCGCAAGTTCAGCTGTCGCAGTGCGCCATCTTGGGTAGCTCTAGGCGCCGTCGCGAAGGAAGAACGTTGAGCGGGTGCATTTTTCCATCGATGCCCGAAGACCAGCAACTTGTTTTCTGTTGGCCACTCCCAGGGCTGGAAGAACCACAGGCCAACAAGAAAAAGCTTTGGAGGCGGCTGTGGCCTACCGGGCTGTGGCCTACCGGGCTGCGCTGGTAGCCATTAACCGCGCTGACTGACGGCTGGCCGTACTGACCGACGGCCAAGCTGTCCAAACCGTTCAACCGTGCAACCGTGCAGGGGGGAGTCACGGTTCACAGCCCGTTCGCATGATTCAACCATACTCACCAAAACTAAAACAATACCGACCAGCATTTAACTAGTGCTAAGCCAATGCTAAACCACAAACCGATACTAAGTAAGTACTAAAGAGCGTTGAGCTGGCAAAAACGCAATACTACACCAAAAGCTATACTCACGCAGCACTTGCATTTTTTCCCCGGGGGTTTGTTCGTTGGCTTTACTAAACACTTCATTCATGCCGAGCAAATGATTCAAGCTTACCCGGTACCATCCCCCCGTTTGTTTGCGGCAGGTCGGCAAAAGTTGAGGAAAAGGACACCTTCACACGATTTAGCAGTCATGACCACTTACCTGGAAAACAAACTGAGAAACAAAGGTCTTCCAACGCTATTTGCAATTTGGAGAAACACGCCTTCACTGCGCGGGCTTCCTTGCGCAGTTCGGAAATGGTCATAGCTGCCAAACATCGAGTGAAGTTGTTTTCCCTGTGGTGCGCAAATCGTCATGACAGCAAGCCACACGTTCTGTTTTAACACGAGTTAACGCTAGTTCATATGGTAGCACCTTCCGCTGGTTCACATTGATTGCACTGAAACAAAGTTCAGGCCGGTGCCTGCGCCAGCGCAGACCAAGCCCAAGAAGAAGAAGGCCATCGGGCAAAAGCGTTGCCGCAAGATCCTTACGCCAGAGCAGCGGCCAAAACCGATTCCTAAAGGGCCAAATTTTGAAATTGTTATCAGGTGGTTCTGCGAGTCAAATCACCCGCTTTATTAAGGTTTTTCGTGAGGCCTATATCAATAGTTGTAACCATCTTAGTAGCATAGGCTTTGGCCGCTGCTCAGATGAGTGCAGGTTAGGAAGGCAAAGTCTCCAAGGCGCAAGCGCCCTTTTGCTTCGTTACATGGTTTTGGGCAGACCAGTTCAATACCAAGTGCTGTGACTTCTTCCCTTTAGCGGCGTTTTTGCTAGGGATCACGGAAAATCGGCACCACCGGGTTGAAGCCAAAGGCACCCCCTGAAAGTGGTGTAGACCCAGGGTTTCCTTTATCCCCAAAGATGAAAAGTGTATGCGTCCAAATAAGCCCCCCCCCCCCGAAAATGGTTTCGGTTTTGCTTTTAGTTTCCCTTGAAACCAAGATAACAGGGGGGTACCGAGCCTCCAAAACCCCACCCAAAAGGCAAACTCCCGCCAGCACCTTTGAGCGGAACGGCTTCGCACCCCTCAGAGCGAAAGCCGCGCAGGTCCTGAAGAATGCCCACGTCTACTTAGACAACTTGCCCAAGGGCGAGATGTACGAAAAGCCGCTGGGCTGCGCGTTTTTACCCGCCGCAAATGAGCGTGGAACCCGTGGAACCCCAAAATACCAGCTCCCCCAATAGGTTTTTTCCTCTACAAGTCATGGTTTGTTGGCTCACTTCCTGAGCTCATGAACTTTATACTTTTTGGGAAGACCGTTTTAGTGGGAAATGTAAAGTTTGGACTTTTTTGGGCCATCCACTCAGGAAGCGAGTTGGGTTTTCTGTGTATTCGCAGGATAGTAATTCCCCACGAATCCGAATGCTGGGGGCCCCGGTTCGCCAGTTACGAGAAGCAAAGATGAGCTTGCGACACTGGCGGTTCCGAACTTCAGAAGACACACACCCCTACACTAAAGACCCGTCCCGTTTGTTGGGGTCACCCTTTGCTACAGGATGTATTTCCCTGCAACGCCTTTGTTCCTCAAAACATACCCTAAAAAAGGAGGGAATTCGGCGTAGGGGAAGATTTCGAGCCCTGCGAACCTTCAGCTAACAGTCATTGTGTGCATGTTACTAAAGCCGAGAGATCAAGCTGGCCTGCTTGCATTCACTGGCGTTTTCGTTGTCCAGATCATTGACTTGTTCGCTGCTGTAGTTGGGTGCCAACCAGCGTTCCAAATTTCAATTTGTGCAGAGCTCGTTTTGGCGTGGGAGACCCATGTGAGTTTACAAAACGGGGCCGACCTTCTCTGGTCGACCCCCTTTTGTCAGACGCGCAACGTCAACCCTGGGAGGGACCCTGTTTTCTACCAGAGTCACTGGACCCAAACAATTTGGTTGGCGTTTCGCCCCCCGCTGGTTTTGATGTTTTCCCCCGTCCAAGCCCAGGAGCTTCATGCACCGGGACGTGGTGCACCTAGCGGTGTGCAGCAACTCCACCGGCTTCCTCATCACCGGCTCCGAGGACGGCCACGCCCCTCGGCCTCTTTTGTCTTGGCTCGGATTCGAAGCGGGGAGGAAGCTGAAGGGTGGTCCATTCAACGGCAAGCGTGTGGGTGTGGTTGTTTCTCTGCTCGCTTGTTTCAATTGACTAATTGACGGAAATTGATTGGTTAGTTTGGTTTGTTAAGTTTGGTTGTTTGTGTGGTTGGTGTGGTTTGGTTAGTTTGGCTCTGTTTGGTCTTGCTTGGTTTGGTTTGGTTTGGTGCGGTCTTCTTTTTGTTTGGTTGGTTTGTTCCAGTTGGCATCCTATCCCCGCCTGTGTGATTGAAGTTGAACTTGAGGAAGCTAGCGTGTGGCATGCATGGCGAAGTATCTTCTCCAATTTGTTCCACAAAATCTCCCCATGCCTTGACTTCAGGGCTGTGGGAAATGACCACTTCTGTGATACAACAATAAGGGCTTCCCAAAGACTAACCCACCACATAACGGGGGAGATTCCCTTGTATCACAGAAGTGGGGTAAAACCCCTTGATCCCACAACCCTGCTTGACTTTCTTGGCTTAGGTCTTTCCTGTGAGCTCGTCGGTGCTATCTTGGAGCAGGGGCTGCGCACATCACGGCTTGATTCGAGCTCCCAACTTCTGTGATACCAAGACACCTCCTCTTTAAACTCGGAGAAACATCAGTGGGGGTTTTAAATCAATCCAATGTTATATTCAAACACAAGTGTATGGCCAAACACAACTAGGTATTTCATTAGGTCACTTTCGAGGGCTCCGGGCGTTATTTTGCCTCGTTTCAGATTTTGAGCCGCAACACATTGCAGGAAGGCCGTTTTCCCACCAATTTCGCAGTGGTTCGCTGAGGTGAAGTTCTGGAAGAAGCAGTACGAGGGCATGGAGTTCGTCAAGCACTACCGCGCCCACTTGAGTAGCCAGTCTGCAGAGGCCAACGGAAAGGCTCCATGGTGGCTATGGCTCAAAAGGTTATCCTCCCCCCCCGAGTTTGTAGGGAAAAAAACCAAACGCCCTTCGCGTATGTGGAGCCAGAAGCACTGCTGATAAATTTCGCTTTGGTGTCAGTCATGGAGATGGCCCACTTTGGCATCGTTTGGCATCACAGGCCTTTTCCAGAAATGAAAGGCTCTTACGATCACTGGACAGGCTGTGGCCTGGACTGTGGGCAAAAGGTCGCCTTCGGTTTCGGAGCAGCCAAAGGAAGCCACCCATTTTTTTGGGTCCTCTACTTCTGACCATGCGGTCGAGTAGCGCCCTGATTGACTTCCGGAGAACAGAGTCAAATCAATAGATTGCCTCTGGGTCCCACTCCGGGTCTGCTCGTGGTTCCTCCCCTGACGGCAAAGATTTGTAGCCCGAGAGGACAAAGAGACTGGCGAATGATGGGAGCCAAGCTGAAATCGATGCCGAAGTAAACGCAACGTGACCCAAAAAAGGGCAGTTTCTGACCCGCTCCTACAACCCGTAAGTTTTCCGGCTTTCGGTTGCTCGGCCACTGCTCCTAAAACCGCCGGTCTCGAGAAACCTTTGGGTCCATTGAAGTGAAGACGGAATCCCTTCGCAACCCAAAACCGCCATCTGCTTTATTAAGTGCCTTGGACAAAACAAGAACATATGTCCAGTAGTGCCAGATTCCGTTTAAAGCCAACAGGGGAAAATCAAACATATTCATTTCACCAAACGGCAGAAACTGGCGCCCGCTACCCACATGTTGCGGACCCAGAATGCAATCCATGTTTGGGGCACTGTTTTGAGAAGCGGCAACCATGTTCTGCGTCAAGACCACATCTCTTGAACATCGACTCCGGATCAGGCCTTTTGGCTTCCCCTTGTTGCTCAATGTTCAGGCACGGCCCCAAGAAGTTACCCGCTGATTTCTGGGTTCTTTGAGCAACTGAGGAGTGGTTTCATATGATCGCCTCTTGAAGGGTCTTGAGAGTCTCAGTCGGTACCCTTTTGGGAAGAAGCATTTAGGTCCTGACCCAAACACCCGCCTGAATCCGCTCACGGGGGGGGTTCTGCCTGGAGGCTTATGAATGACACTTTGGAGGTAATTAGTTGGGTGGGTTGTGTTTCAAAAGGACCCCCCCCCAAAAAGAACTTCAAAGCCAACCCCGAAAAGGGGTTGCTTTCGCCTCAGAAAAGAAAAACGAAAAGCGCCGCCCAGATCCTTTTCCGAGGCAAGCTGCTGGCAATGGTTCTGTCTCAGGACTGAATCTTTCAATGGCTGTGGGCTAATCAGGGCTTCAGTCTGGTGCTGATCATGGACATGTAGGGGGAGGTTGCCCGGGATAAGCCAAGGATAAGCCCACAAAGCAACCTATTTTTAAGGCGTTAAGAAGGATGTTCTTTGAGTTGGCAGCCATGAAGGATGTTCTTTGGACGGTTGGGGTCTGCCAGAATTTGGTGAAGGCACATGCAGATGTCGCAAATCCCAGATTCGCCCTTTCCGAATGAGTCGCGATGGGACGAGGGCGCGATGTTCTGTGCGCTTTTGGGGGGCAACAACTCTTTGGAAAGCGGCGATCGGAATCACAGAGCTTATCGAAAATTGAGCGGACTCTCGGACGCCGAGGGTCGAGCAATTCCATGTTTGTGGATGAGAGGGGGGTGACCCCTGCAAAAACCACTTTTTTTGTTTAAGGTATGGCCCCGGGCTCCAACACGATGGCGCTGAACAAGAAAATGGCAATGAACCCGTCAAAGTTGTTTGGTTCCAAGTTCCAAGCTCCGCCACTCAAACATCGAAACAGCGCCGTTCAACGTACAAAAGAACATGGAGGCGCAGCGTGTGGGAATGAACCAAACTAATTTTATTTGCAGTGAGGGAGTGATCAACAAGCGTCAAACCTTTCCCAGCTCGCTCTTGGACCATAGATACTCCCCTCAGAGATACAGCAGGGACTCCTTTTCATTATCAGCCACACGTCATGTTCACGTGTTTCATCGAACAATCGCTGGGGTGGATTTTTAGGTTCCTTTTTGCCACCTCGCAGGTCCCCCAAGGCCCTCAAAGGCTTTGAGTAGATGTTGGATGTCCCCTGCAGCGCCCCTGAACCCCTTAGGCAAGCCCGACCAAACGGGCCTAAAGGACCCTGTTGACAAAGTCAGGCCGGTGGATCGAGTGCTTGGAGATTTCAACAGGCGACAAGCTTGCGTGCAGCACCTGTGAGTCGCACATCCAAATCCACAGGAGGTCGCAGGCGTCATTTTTGGGGGACCCCCAGACAAAATTTGGTTTGTTTTGGTTTCCCTAAAGAAAGGCTGACCCATATGGACGTAGGTGGAAGGAGATGGTGAGCGATGATTATCCCAATCCCCCGCCCTGATGAACTGTACGGAGATATGTGTCAGGATGTGAAGGACTTACACTCATAGGTGTCCTTTTTGGTTGTTTTGCTAGAAAAATAGATGTCCCTGGTTTACCTGGTGGTTTAATCATCTACCAGGGCCATCTATTTCCCCTAAAAGGACACCTATGCTCACACTATCTCACACTTCTTTTTTCTCGTTAAGGGGACTCGCCACAATGTCCTGTCCTGGTAAAGTTTTGAGCGTGGCTCAGATGTGGGATCTCCTAATTCGGCCGCAGTGATCTCGATCGCTTCCCTGTATCAATGCATGCACCCTGTTCATGAACTTTTCCCAGACTGCTTATCTCCCAATACTCTGAGGTATCTAGTACTAACCAATTCAAAACCAGCAACTTTCTCGCCGACCCAGCTCCAGTTGTATCAAGAAACACGTTAGAACCCAAACCAATTTATACCAATTCGCAACCCAAGTCCGGAAAATGCAACCATTGATTTCGGCGGTGCAGGTTCCTTGCACTCAAAAAGGCCATGTAGGGCAATTTTTCGGCCCGGACGAGGGCGGGACCCCATGTGGACGCAGTACGCTATTTCGTAAGCATGTTTTCCGCCCAAGCAAGCGCATCGATGAAGGGGGGCCATATCGGGGCGTCATGGGCTGTCTTCTTTTGAGGCTAGCCCTTTCTTATGATAACTGTAAGAGGGAAGCCCACAGGAAAACCACCATATATATATATTTATATATTCGGGGGGGGGCAACAAAAGACACACCGACATTCATCGTCAGGAAAAACGTGATTAGCCATTTGCGCCAAGCTGCGCTACCCTTAACCAGCCCACCAACGGCGTGTGAATCTGCAGGATGGGCGACAGTTGGCTACCATTGGAGAGGATAGCGCGCTGAAGCTGTTCGAGGCGAGGGGTTTTGCATCGGAACGATGGTTCCTGGGTTTGTTAATCTTGCCCAGAAGGCCCAAAGGAGATGGCGAGTTGTTTTTTCTCGTTTTTTTCTTGACCACCCTATTTAGCACCCAGGTTCCAGTAGTGACCAACAAACATGAATCTGTAGACATTCGTACAAGATCCTTGCCCATCTCTTCTGAAAAGTTGGAAGGGAGGCAGTTGATATGGGGCAAGGCTGAAGGCAAATTGGGTGTTTCCAAAAATCCACCGGGCTCCCTTTCTGGATGATTTTTGAAGGTACACCAAGAGGCAACAGCGCCAATAATATCCCTTTTTTGCGAAACATTATGAGTGACTGACAATCATACCAGGGTATCGGTTTTTGGTAGGCCATTTCCTATTGTTTCCCAGCAGGTTGCTGGGTATCGGTCTCCCGCCCTGGATTGCCCATGATGCGATTTTCTGGGCTCATATGTTTTGTACCCAACCAGGTACCCAGGTCTTCCCCCAAACTAAAAATCCATCGGTGTCGGTCCGCAAGCGAAGTGTTTCGCCTTCGCCTTCGGTTCTTGCCTCCAGGTGACGTCCTTTGACATGACCTGCATGATCAAGCTGAAATTCAAGCCGCTGCAACTTTGTGGCATTTTGCGTGGATGTTAGGGCTTTAACTTTTTGCCAACTAATGGGTTTTCCGTATCAAACACTAAAAGTTTTCCAACTTTTCGCAGCAGAGAGGGCCACCGAGGCAAGTGGAGTTCGTCCACAAGAAGAACTCCCCCAGCTCCTTGCTGGCCGTGCAGCAGCCTCAGGAACTTCACGCCGGGGAAGCGAAATCTCGCGGCGCCACGAGACGGAGCCACGTGAGTTCCAAAGACGGGCCGCGAGAAAGAGGCGAACAAGAAGCCAGGTGATGGGGATTTGGGGGTTTTCTTAGTGCGCGCACGAGAAAGCCTGACCTGGCAATCCATGTGCAGCTACTTTTGGGGGATTTGTGATGAAATTAGGTTGCCTTCTAAGTTTCACCATGGGCCAACGTCAAGCATTATGTTCAGTTGAGCGCAAAAGCTGACGTACGGTAGTTGTTTTTGTGTCACAACTAGCTCCTGAGCCCAAAGTTTGGCAATTGCCTGGCGGATTTCAACACCAGCGCGGTCAGCTCGTGATGCAACGCAGCTTGACCTTTGTATCAGCCTTGAGAGCCTGGCAGTGAGATGCTAAAATGTTTGATTGGCACGTTCTTTCAGCCACTTTCAGGAACCACAGGCTACAGAAGAAATGACAAATATTTGAAAGTGTATAGAACATATCAAAAACAGAAAGAAAAAAAACGGAGGAACCAAAAAACAAAAACGACTAAAGCGTGAAGACTCCAGGCAGTGCCCACTTTTGTCGGGTTTTCGGGTGTCCGTTTTCATGGCGCGCCATGGCGGCGCGCGCGGGCCTCTCCGGCGCCTCGCGCTACGCGACGCTGCAGCGGGCCTTCAGCGACCAGCTGCGGGAGTGGCACTGGCAGCGGAAGCGGGGCACCTTCTTCCAGGCGGGGTGAAGTCAAAGGGTCGACTGGGTGCAGGAAATGAACAAATAATAATGCTGACCGGTGAGCCTTTGGTGTGCTGTGTGACATCTCCAGGGAAATGTGCGACATCTCCAGCTGTCCAAAACATCTCAAAGGGTCGACTTGGGTGCATGACACGACCCTGTGACCCCAGTCAACAAAGGGTCCTTGGTGCTGACCCTGGAAATGAAAATCGACCCACACGTGTTTATTTATAGGGGAGTGCCACATATTCATCAACCCAGTTTAGGAATAGGGGAGGGACACCTCCCTATTCAGGGACTAAATGATGATTTGCCACTAAATCCAGGGACACCTCCCTATTAATTAAACTGGGTTGATAAAAATATGGGGGTCACTTAATGCTGGACACCCACAAAAAACAAAACCATAATTATGTTTTCCCCACATGGTTGAACAAATATCCATGGTCAGAACTGGGGGGGGGGGGGGGTTAAATGGAACATACTGTGGATGGACAAACTCCTGCACCACTTTGAAACCATGGCTGAAACCATGGTTTGTTGGTATTTACGCAGCAGAACCGAAAATCCTTCCAGATTTTTTCTTAGAACGGTGGTGAAATCGAAATGGATTTCGGGTCCATCCACAGAATTCCTCAGGTTTGGCAGCCCCCCGGCGTGATCTTCAGCTGCCTGAGGAAGGAGCACCACGCCCACGGCAGCGTGCCGTCCTGGCAGGACTGGGGCTTCTCAGACCAGCTCCCCTGCCGTCGCTTTGCCGCAGTCCCAAAACGTGAGGACGGGGCTCCGAAAAAGAAATCCCCATGTTGCAACCGTTTGACACATGGCCTTTTTTCCCACCAAAATAAAAAGGACGCCACCAAATGACTTCCACTTGCTGAAACGAATATGTTTCCCCTGTTGGTTTTAGAGGGAATGACATGTGTTTTGTTTTTCTTTCCAGGTGGCTTAAGCAAATGGAAGCAAGGGATGTTAGAACTTTATCAGGGCTCCTTAAAATATGTTTGCCCATTTGAAACATGGCTTTGTCCACCAAAGTAAAGGGAAACCACCATTTATAAGGCAATGTTCAGGTGTATAATGTAAGGGTCCCTGTAGGACTTGAACTTTTTGATCCAACTTTATTGGGTTTTCCGAATGAAACCCACTAAAAGTTGAGAACACTTTCTTTTACCAGGGGAGCAGAAAGCAACCGAGGTCTGGTGCTGAACGCCCTGGGCGGGCGCTGGATCACCATGAAGACGAAGCAGCAGGGCCAGGAGCCATGGGGTTTGTGGGGTCACTCGGGGTTTTTCCAACCACTTCTGCGATACTTTTTGGGATTATTTTCCTGTATTTTTCAGGTTTGTCTTTGAGAAGCAGACAGGGTCGTATCTTCTTGCCTTTAAGACAGGGATGATAAGACAAGGGCCTAAGATGTATCGTCTTTCAAGCGGCAGGTGTATCTTCTTTTTGTATCCACAGATTCCTGGCTTCCATTTCCACCGGCCAGGAGCGCTGGATCGTGGCGGACGGCGATGACAGCCACCTCTTCCGCGCCTTCCTGAACGCCATGGACTTGTACGGCCTGGATGCGGATCCGGAGCACTGCTTCCCCAACCTCAGGCGCTGCGCTCTCGGGGACTCCAGGTGAGCCACGTGCAATCGAAACCCGGGGGAATTGGAGGGCAAGGGAGAATCCCAGCCAAAAAAATAGCCGCGGAGAAGTCCGCCTTCTTCATTCTTGAAGCATGGTTCTGGGGCGACCATTTTTGGACCAGGTTTTCAGGTCCGGACCCCTCCGTTTTCCCCTGTGCGGAAAACCGCGAGAAGTGCAGGTTTATTTCCATGAGGAAAACGCCGGTAAATGGGGAGCTTAGCGCTTGATTTGGGCGGAAATCCCGTTGTGAGCCCTCCAAAAATCGATGGAGCACTGGATCAGATGATCTCAACGAAGCCATGAGCCCGGTGGAAATAGATAAAAAAAAAAAAAAAAAACGACGGGCATAGATTGGTTTCTCATGCCGTTTCCCAGGCAAAAAAAAAACACAGCCGTTTAGTAGGGCCAAAAGAGAAAAGCGCGAAGTAGTGCGCCAAAGCCGCTGGTATACATTGGTTTTACGCCATTTCCCAGAAAAAAAGAAAGGAACAAAACACCAAACACACCCTTTTAGTGAGCCCTGAGGCTTTTGTACGCTCACCCCCGCTCCGCCTTGGCCTTCTTCCCGGTGCGCTCCCTGCGCAGCGTGCACATCCACCTGCCCTGGGCGGAGCGCACCTCGAAGCCGCTCAGGGCAGCCATGGTGAACCTCAAGCTGCTGCTGGACGCCTGCAGCATCCTGGAGCCCAAGGGCGCGCCTCAGCTGCAACCGGAGCTGCCATCTGCTTCAGCCCCCGGAGGCGTGTTGAGCAACGAGCCACGAGCCAGCGGCAAGAGGCAACGGGCAAAGCTTCCATTTGCTTGAGGCCCTGGAAAAACTAAATCTAGTAAGTCCACGAGCAAGCAGCAACTCGAGCCACTGCTGGAGGGATGTGTTTATATGGTGTTTTTTCACCCAGGGGACTTTTTTTGTGGAATTGGGGTGTGGTGTCCCCAGTTTGGTCCCCTTTAGTGGCCTGAAAAACACCTGCAACTAAAGCGAATCCGAATCCATTGGATCTGACACGAAAACGTTGGTCCGGGACTCGAGAGGAGATGCCGATGGAGCCGAGTAAAATGGCGGGTTGTTGGGTTCCATTTGTTAATCTGTAAAAGAGGAGTTTCTCCAGTTTGGCCCCCGAATTTTTTTGGTGGCCCGGTGATATGCTGGTTTCCTTGTGGTTGTGCCTTCAAAAAAGACCCATGGTTCCTTTGTTGCAGGAACATGGTTCCTTTGAAATCGAGGGTCATCACCTTGTATTTCTCTTGGTCCAAAGTGGTTGCAACTGATCTAAAAAACTGTTCGTGGTTTGCACTCGTGTTTTCTCCCTGTTGGGCCTTTTTGAATAATATGTTAGTATTCTTTCAGCATTCGACAGGTGTGGGATCCCCAGATTCGCCACATCTTTAGCCGTTTTCCAGAACTGGGTGTGCTTCAAAATGGAGCACCGCTGGGGCAAACCGCAGGTGTTCGTCTTTGTTTCCATGCACCGTGCCATTTTGCGCTTCATGTTTTTGAGCCATAGGTTTGGCTGGCTGGGTCGTGGAGGTCGGTCGGTCGGTCGGTCGTCGGTGGGCGGGTGCTTCTGGCTTTCGCAGCTTGTTGCGTGCTTTTGTGGCGTTCGGCGGTTGTTTGTTGTAGCTTTGCCTTCCCACATTCTCAGCTAGCATCACTTTCAGGATAGTGTTTGCAACCCACCCCAAACCAGCACCCTAAACCGACCAACCCAACCCACCCCGAAACCCACCTGAAAACAGCGCTTAAGCATCCTGAGCCAGCCAAAGCCTACCAAAATCCCCAAACCCACCCCAAACCAGCGCCCTAAACTATCCTTAAACCACCCTAATCCAACTCTAAACTCCCACTACACCCAGTATAAATACCCACCCTACACCCACACTAAATCCGCACTGAAGAAACCCTACAGAAACCCAAAACCCAAACCCTGGCCCCCTGATCCTGACGAACCCTGAGCCAAACCTCAACCCACCCCAGCGCTATACCAATCCGAAACCCAGCCCAAACCAACCCTACACCCTCCCTGAACCAGCTTTAAGCCACCTCAAGATCAACCCTAAACAAAACCTAAGCAAACCCTAAGCCGACCCTAAGCTTCAGAACAGCACTAAAGCATCCTAAACCAGGCTAAACCTAACCAGCCCCAACAGCCCCAAACCAACTCTATCCCCCCATTAAACCCAACTAAATCCACCTTAAACCCACACCTATGCCAACCCGAAAGAAACTACCCAATCCTACAGAATTGTAGCAACACTAAACCCACCCCAAACCACCAGTAAACCATTCCAAAACCAACTCTAAACCAGCCTAAACCCACAGCAGCTTAAACCAACCCTAAACAGCCCTAACCCACCCCAAACCAGCTCGAAACCCACCCTAAACCAGCCCTAGACCCACTGTAAACCAGCGCGCGAAACAATCCCTGCCAACCTTTGAACCCACTCGAAACCAACCCCATCCCAAACCACGACTAAACCAACTCAACCCATCCTAAAACCAGCCCTAAACTACCCTAAGCCTAAACCAGCCTGAAGCCCAACCAAACCAACTCTCAGCCCGCCGTAAACCAGAGCTACAACCACCAAACATCAACCCCAGCAAACCCTAAGCAAACCCA